AATATAATTGTGTTAGTTTTCTTGAAGGTGTTTTCCCTGACTACAAGTGTTGCTAGCTACTGATGTAATTGTTAGTTTTGTTGAAGGTGTTTTCCCTGACTACAAGTGTTGCTAGCTACTGATGTAATTGTTAGTTTTCTTGAAGGTGTTTTCCCTGACTAAAAGTGTTGCTAGCTACTGATGTAATTGTTAGTTTTGTTGAAGGTGTTTTCCCTGACTACAAGTGTTGCTAGCTACTGATATAATTTACAATTATATCAGTAGCTAGGTTAGTTTTCTTGAAGGTATTTTCCCTGACTAAGTATTGCTGTTAGCCTAAATGTAAACATCACAAGTCTTGTATTTAGAATTTACCAGTGGTATTAATTCTGAGTTTGTGTGTGTATGTGTGTTTTTCTTATAGCAAAGCCACATCGAGATATCTGCTGTGTCCACCGAGGGGAATCGAACCCCTGATTTTAGCACTGTAAATCTAAAGACATACCGTTGTCCCACTCGGGGACAATTCTTAGTTTGTTATAAGAGCAATTCTATTTTGTCTGTGACACAAATCACATCCATTTTAGTAAATTTACCATCATAATATCAGTCTTGTTTCACTGAAATGACCTATACATCGCTACCGTGCAACCAGAAGTGTAAATGTTTCTTAAAAATTATGAGTGAACCTTCCCTCTTTAATCAAGTACAACAAAGAAGTAACAAATTATTTCTAGGTTATACATAATTTCGCTGCAAAACATTTCAGTAAAGATTAACAATTTTTTTTCTTCAGAAGTTTAAACACGGACACTCGTAGTAATATACTAAACTGTTAAAGTAAACTTAGTAATTACATAAAAAATATCAAAACACTTACTACGGCTTGTAACTGTTGAGTCTGAGGAGTAAGACTGGCAATTACAGCCTGTGCATGGGCCGCTTGCTGCTGAGTGATTCCCTGAGCCGTGACGGTCACTTGCTGCTGCTGTTGTTGTTGTTGCTGTCTTTGTGCTGTCAGCTGTTGCTCCGCTGCCGCCGCCTAGTAAATCATAATTTCCATCTATGTTACTTTTACTATTTTAAATACTGCAACGGCAAGTTAACCTAATCATCTTTAGTTAAAAATATTTACAACGCAGTTCAATAAAACAGCTGGCAACTGGACACTATCCTGGTAGTGAACACTGTTGAAAAATGAATGTGAATCTTCCTTGTAGAGAAAAGAAAGCCTTTACACAATAACTAAGTTCACGGCTGCTATCAATAGAGCATATTAGGTTTTGTCACGATTTGATTCCGTAACGGAATCAGAATCGAGGATTACAGAATAGGAATCTATCAACGGGTCATATTGACATTACAATCGCATTTCCTCATTATTTTTTTTTATCTTGTGTGTGTACAGGGAGATGTATTGTAAATTAAGGATATAATTCACACCCTTTTAGGATACTTTGATACCTTAAAAACCAACTGACATTGAATAAGGATGATAATAATATTAATCAGTTGTTGTTATAATACTTACAGCTGCAGCTGCCTGTTGCGTACGTTGCTTTTCTCTTGCAATCCTGTCAGCTCTGTTGGATGCCACCTTCACTGGGCTAAGTGGTTGGTCGTACACAATTCCACTCTCTGCTAATACAGCAGCATGCTTCAAGTTCTTCCCCGCAGGGTTCACAAAGAGAGGCTTCAAGGTTGGTGTACGCTTGTTAGCTACAGACTTGATGGTTTCGAAGCGGTTGTTGTACAAGCTGGTGAAAGTGTTATTGTTATCCTGCATATAAAGTTGGCTTGTCCTCATAGGCCGATTGTTCTTGGTCTGAAGACAAGGCAGAGTACTTAGTCAGGAGAAGTTAAGAGCAATCTCTCTATTTTTTTTTTTTGTTTTAGATATTCTAATTCTAGTAATTACAGTTTCAAAGGTTGACAGAGAGAGAAAAACTTGCACGTATATATGGAGAACCTATAAATAATAAATCAAAGCCATTTCTTTGAGTTTTTAATCTTAAGTATTCTGAAAAAAACAACTTAATCCTTCACAAAAATGGAATTTAAACTAGCTTGTAGGTAAAATTAAATTCCTTATAAACAAACAATAGTAACATAGAGCTAAGTAAAACTATAATCTATATATAAACCTTATAGAATGAAACACTATTTTTACTACCCCAAGCTTTTGACCTCTCAGGTAAAAACCCGACCCTACTGAAACCACTGCATAAACTAACTGTGCCAGCATTTTTTGAAAAGGCAGGAAATGTATTCTCTGGAAAAATAACTAGAAATAAATATTTAAATGCTTCAAAGTAAAGATTTCTTAAAGCAATTAAGAAAATAAGCTTATATTTCTACTCGAATATTTCACACAACCTTTTCAACACGAAAGGATTAACACATCAAACATATTTGGCTGATAAGTTCTTTAGTTTAGTATCATACAGTAATATACTTTAGGTTTTCACATTTACATTGCACATTCTTTTTCTCCTGTTTCTTGGGGTTGATAACCCTCTCAAATCTATGCTATTTACCCTAATTAAGCTTATTATCTTGGAATGACTGTTTAAAGTTGTCACACGTACCTTGTATATCCCTTTTGTTTTCTCCTGTTTCTTGGGGTTGATAATCCTCCCAAACCTATGCTATTTACCCTAATTAAGTTTATTATCTTGAAATGACTCTTTAAAGTTGTCACACGTACCTTGTATATCCCTTTTGTTTTCTCCTGTTTCTTGGAGTCGATAATCCTCCCAAACCTATGCTATTTACCCTAATTAAGTTTATTATCTTGGAATGACTGTTTAAAGTTGTCACACATACCTTGTATATCCCCTTTGTTTTCTTCTGTTTCTTGGGGTTAGTATCATACAGTATTCTCCCTTCCTCTCGGGGCACAATGACGCTCTCATAGCGAGCCTTGCACTGCTTGGGAGAACGGTAGGTTCGGCTGACAGAGTTAAACACGTCTGCTACAAGGTCCCAGTTTGGTATGTGTGCAGGAGAAAGCACTGTAAGGTTTAGGGGAAGGCCTTGCAAAGACTGAATCACCTGAAAAACAAAATGATACAGTTGAAGTTAACAACCATCAGATAAACAAATATACTAAGCAGAACCAAAAGCTGTACTTTTTAGCATAATATCTGTCAATTCAGGGTATAAAAAGTATCTTAAACTTGAGGTTTCGAGTCAGAACTGAAATACCGCTTTCCAAAGTAGTTCATTTATCACTGTGCCTATAGTATTTTACATACATTAAAGGAAATACCATGTTTATAACGAGTTTTCCTTTTTTGTGCGTTATAAAATCAAGTAGATAATTTTTTCCTATATACAACATATACACCCTTGAAACTGTGTTAGACAGTTAACAGGAATGTTACTTGTCCCAAGTGTTTAATAAGCTGGGCCTTGCTGCAGGTTAGTTTTTTAAACAAGTAGCAACTGTTGATAATGGATCAAAACTCTGGCAGTGAGTCTCAACCTTGTTGTTTATAGAACTTGTTTTCATTAGATTTTCATTATAAAGGAGCTCCTCCCTGCAGAAAAATTAGATGGTTTAAAAATGTCTTTGTTATAGTAACATTTCTGTATTTGAATGTTATTTTTTGATACTATGTTATCAATCCCACTCGTACCGTACAAGAGCTTTTCATATATGATAAAATGAACTAATAAAAACTCGGTGTGTTTTGGTTTTTCTCACGTAGCTGTGGTTACTCGGAAACAGAAGGTCCGTAAGGAGGAGACTGTGCACGTACCACGTTCCCTGTTTGATCGGCCTTCAGCGGCAATTTTGAAAATGAGACGAGAAGCCAAAATGCAAAAGGTCAAAGGATTGATGGTAGGGCCAATGACCTTTCAAAGGCCCTTTGGGTTGGGGGTTCCTGCAGTGAAACCTCCCATGCCATTTTCCAAGGCTTCAGTGGAATCACAGACAGATGTACCTGAATGGCTGGTCCATGAAGACTGTAGTAATGTATGGTTGTCTGAGTTTAAAACATCAATATGTATTTATATCAGTATCAGTAATAAATTATTTGTATTGATGTTTTAAACTCAGACAACCATACATTACTACAGTATGTATTTATATCAGTATCAGTAATAAATTATTTGTATTGATGTTTTAAACTCAGACAACCATACATTACTACAGTATGTATTTATATCAGTATCAGTAATAAATTATTTGCCTAATTTATAGATGTTTACAAGCTACAGTACAAAACAACCTTTAATTCGACAATTTTATAATTAAATGTATAGCTTTATAGATAAACTGATGTATTTTTATTTAAATTTATACTACGGCTAAAATTAGTAGTTTCGTATGGTGTTTCTCACATCACCAAATTCTTTTGGAGGTGAGTATCTGGGAGTAGGACCGGCGTCCTAGTCAGGACACTGGGTGAGCATGTTTTGTTGCGACGGGAAATCGAACCCGCGACCTGCAGATTGCGAGTCGAGTGCCCTAACCACCTGGCAATGCCGGGCTTATGGCTAAAATTATAGGTCAAGGAATAAAATTCTCTACCTGTGGATGCTGCATCAACCCTGTGGTGCTTAACCTCCTTCTTTACGAATACAGGGGGCAGCTGTGACTCAGTCATAATGCTCTCTTCGTACAGGAACCCCAAGCTGTGGTCAACATACAGGTCATTCTCTTCTGTGGGTGGAGTGGGAGGACACCATATCTAAAAGAACATTCTTATCTTTAAAACTTACAGAATCACTGCATTCAAGTACAACTAACAAAAAGAATAAACTTATAAGTGATTTTAAAAAACAAACAGGCCTCTCTCTATTCCATCCATTGGATATGAGAAAATTTCAGTTGATATATGATACTGTTATTCTATACCTTCCAATACCGAACCCCACACTGCTCGTTACGTAACGGCTGCTACCGAGATGGACAGTTATTCCCACGACTTCCGAATTTTTGCCCCTTTCAAAAGTAATCCTATCTAAATAACTGATGTTCTCAAAGTGGCTTGGTAAAAGTCATAAATAATATAAGTAAGTAAGGCTTGGCAAGTAACATCACAACTGCATTTCACTAATTTGATGTGATAAAGCTTGTGGAATCGGTGGAAAAATTACAACATAGTTCAAAGGTTGTTCACATCCTCAAAACCACGATAGTTGCAATAAAAAATCACTGTCCTTCGGGAAATAAAACACTGTTACTTTTTTGAAAATAACAATCTCAACACTAATACATATATCTAAGCCACATTATAAATAGTTATTACACCATAATTTTCTACAACCTTCAATAATTCTAATCACATCACACAGAATATGTTTATGAACATCGTAAGACCCTGCCAAAAAGAGCGAACTAAACCACACGACTAATTACTACACATACGGTACGATAGAATTAACCATTTTGCCGAGAGTTGTTACAAAAACAAGTGCAGATTTGCTTTCCACATTCCTCATAATTACACGTCGAAGCTCGAATTCAGAGGTATGTTGTAAACGGCGTGCCAGATCTGTCTTTCATCTCCCACAAGTCGTTGCCCAACAGGATTTTCATTCAATACCTTTGATTTCAAGTTGAAATTGACAAATGAAAGTAATATGTAACAAACAAAAATACACAAAACACACACCTGCAGTTAACTTGTTTTTGGAACGAACTTAGGCCTGTTGGTTTTCTAGTATTCTGCCAGCTTTTGGCATTTGTACCATGGCTTTTATAATCCATATATAAAAATAGCACTTCATAAAATCTTTCGTTTCACATAGTTCAGCCCAAGTAATTGGTTCTGGTATTGAACAAAAAGTTTATTGGGCAGTGACACGTGGGAGACAGCAAGTAGATCTGGCTTGGTGGTTATTTCACAGCTCTAATTTCGATTAAATCAGAATCAATAGACAAATTAAAAGGAATATGAAAAAAATATCTGCAATTAACTTAT